ATGAGAGAGGAGGCAAAATATATGACAATCTTTAAATATAATTATTATAATAATGAATTGATTTTATTTTAAAAATAGTTTATAATGGTTTTTTAAATATATTTTTAATCATGATGATTTTCAAACTTACACAAATAGATCTTTAAAGCGTCAAAATACAAATAGATTATCAAACAAACACAGTTTCTATATAAAAAAAAAATAAAAAAAAAGCTTTTATTGGTGAATAAATTTATTTTCTTAATCTTTATAATTGTAAAAAATATTATTATTTTAATTTCTCATGCCACAAATAATATAATTGATAATGACAAATCTTGGCTGGTGGCTAACACATGTATACTTTTGCAACAACAAATGCAGGAACAAATGCAGGCACAAATGCAATTTTTGAGGAAAGAGATATTACCTGCCTTAAAGATACCATCAGCATCATCAGTCAAAAAACTTGGGAAGAATCAAGAATGAAAATGTTGAATTCTATTTTTTTTTATTTACATTAGCATTGTTAACTCACTTGAAGAGTTTTATTATATTAGTTGGTATTGAGTATTTTTATTATGTTAGTTGGTACTGAATATTTTGATTATGTTGGTAATTCATAATTGTTTTAGTTAGCCTTTAGTATTTTTATTTTATTTGATGCAAGTTGATGACACAATAATATATTTGATATGAAAAATACAGGTACTACAATTTTGATATCACAACTAAACAATTATAATAGTTTTAGTATAAAAATGCAGGTAAAGACGAATATATGAATAATAAAAATCAAATTGCGACACAATAGCGAGGGATTAGCGATGATAACCAAAACATAACATTAAGGGATCTGCTAGGAAATAGAGAGGAATATCATGTGAAGGACAAAATAGTGAGGGAACAACAATATAATAGCTAGGGACATGTAACGAGGGAATAAAGAAAGGTTTGCAAGGGATACTTAGCGAGGGAATAAAGAGCGAATAGCTAGGGAAATATAGCGAGGGAATAGCGAAACAATTGCTAGGGGAATATTGCGAGAGAATAGCTAGACAATTGCTAGGGAAATATTGCGAGGGAATAGCTAGACAATTGCTAGGGAAAAGTAGCAAGGGAATAAAGAAGGATCTACGAGGGAAATTCAGCGAGGGAATTGCGAGGACATAGCGAAGACATGTAGCAAGGGAATGGAGAGTGCTTTGTGAGGAAAAATTAGCGAGGGAGTAACTAAAAATTAGAGAGGGATTTTTTGCAAGCCCTTAGTGAGGGAATAATGGGGAAGCCTGATCACAAATTAGCGAGGTCCACAATAAGGATCCTTAATACAATTAGTGAGGAACTTAGTGAGGGTTTGGCGACGCCATTTGCTACAGATCAGCGAGGGATTTTATCCCTCGCTAATTAGCTACCTGTATTTAGCGAGGGAATGTTCTCTCGCTATTCTTTCACTATTCCGTCGCAAATGTGATTAGCGAGCGATTTGAGAAGAAATAGCGAGGGAATAGTCCCTCGCTAATATGTAATTTTCTTGTAGTGATTATTGATGTTTTGTGGGACATTGGATGAGGTATACATGGTTGCTTCAGGTGTGTTAACTTTCATGTATGACATATGACATGATGTTGTATATTATAGACTTGCTTTCTACATGTACATGTTTCCGAACTTTTGCTTACCCTTTCTGTTCCATGGTGGTTTGGACTACAATGGTCATATGTTCTATGAGAGCATATTAGGGCTAGGTTTTGAGGAGTTGTTGTGGACAGACGTTGTGATCCCTTTTGATGACGATACTACTGATATGCCTTGTACAGATGTGCTTGACCAGCACTAGAACGTATGATTATTTGGGATGACTGTATACATCTATATATATCATATTTATATCAATTTGGTTGTTTTACTTATATACTCATGTTATATATACATGTATGTTATGTTTCTTCCCTTAATGTTATACATTCTAATAATTTAACTTCCACTATTAGTAGTAGTGATTCCACACAGTGTGGTAACCATGGCGAATCGTTACATTACTACTACAAAAGTATTATTTTACATCACCAATTTTACATCAGTTAACATAAAAACGATGTAAAAGTAAAATACGGTGACATTTTTGTAAATAAATATTAAATATTAGCATATTTACATTGGTCATTAAGAGAAACGATGTAAATATGAATTCTTCTATACCAGTTTTTATCGAGACCGATGTAGTGTTGCTCGCACATGACTAAACCCTTTGCATTCTTCCAAATCTCATGTTCTCTGTTCTCCTCTATGCGGCTGCCAAACCCCATTCTCCTAAATCCTTGCTCGCGTTCTCCACATGCCTGATGAGAGAGGAGGCAAAGCTGGAGAGGGAAGTCATTAAGATCATCCTCAGCAATAACGACGACGGTGAGTCCCTCCTTAAACCTATTTTGGGCAATGCTGTGTCAAATAGCAACCACCGCATCTGCAAGGGGTTTAAGGTTATTACCTTATGCGTGTCAAGTTATAGGGCATGGGAGTGGCAATGTTTAAGGTTATTACCTTCTGCGTGTCATCTCTTCTACCATAACTCCCGACTCCAAAGTATTTTACTTTGTTGAGTTTAAGATTGGGGCAAAGAGGAAAAAGGCTGAAGATAGTACTTTGTTTGCTTCCAAATCGGCTCAGGTGGGTTGTTATTTATGCAACTTTTATGGAATTTTAGTGGTTACTAGTGTGTTACTGAAATTGAAATTTTTGTCTCTTTGATGCAGGATATTACTCTTGCTGACCTAGCCCCCACCCACTTGATTAGGCTTAGGCTTGCTCTCAACTTTTTTGTGTTTTATTATGAAATCCTTAACTCACCAGATTGTGCCTGTAATCCTTCCAAACAGGTATATACCTCCTAGTTCATTTAATGAATTGAATGTGTCATGTGCTTGATTAATGTATGCCTCCTAGTTTCTTAACTACATGTAGCTTTCTATAGCATCCTTTTTATTTTCTTTTTTCTCTGCATAATTACATAAGCATATATTTCCAAGAATTTTTGAGAGAGATGTTTAAATTAGATGTTGCAGAGTACATGATATCCATTTGTGGTGGTTATGGTCTAAGGGACATATCTACACTTGGAAAAAGTGGAAGCATCTTGTTTCTTTCTGAAGATGATATATTCGTGTTATATGGAGAGAAAAAATGATTGCTTATAAGTCCATCTTTATCGATCCATCAACACCAAAAGGAATTGCTAGTGTGCGCTTGTGGGTTGGTGACAATTTTCAAGGACAAAGTTCGTGAAATATAATGCCAAAATATCTAACGAAAGCCACATTATGATGGAGTTTTTCTAGATAAACACCCTCTTGGAAAGTCTAATGAGTGAGCTGCATTGGTAGATTTTGGGAACTTCAAAACAAAATTGTGGCTATAAAAAAGTCTTATAAATACATGACTCGTGACATTGCACCATCTGTTATGAAATTTCAATGATGTTTCTTTTATCTGTTTTGATGCAGGCTGCGATATTTTCCTGCTGCTATTGTGGCTGCGGTTCTTGAGATCATAGTTCACATGCCAGCTATATCAACTATTGCCATATGCAAAGGCCTAGAAAACTGATTCTAACTTTTTACTGTGGAAGAATCCTTACCTTATTTTTCTTGTTACGTGATTTCTCCATTTAATTAGGTACCTTCATGGAAACATGCTTACTGGTCCAATAGCGCCTGTACTTGGCAATATGTCTATAAAAATCATCTATAATCTAGTATATAATAATTCTAATAAAGTTGTTAAATATGATAATACTCTAGTATATAATAATTCTAATAATTCTTTCTTTTTTAATTATACAAGTTTAAATAAGGATAAATATTATTTTGAATCTAAGTCATGGGTGCTGGTTCCTCTGCCTATGTGAATCCTGCTGCAGTTCATATTTAAATTTTTTTTTTCAATCTAATTAGAAGTTCAACAGTAAGGATAAAAATAGAAGTTTGAATATTGGTTTCTATGTTCTCTTGGACATGATTTTCTTTTAAGTAGATCATTATTTTGAATTAATACTTCCCTTGCTTTAATTATGTAATAAATAGAATTGATAAGGTATTTCTTTGATCTTTAATTTGTTTTTGGGTTGCTAACATTTTGAGTTTTTAAATCTTTTTCAAAAGCTGAATTTGGTGTTTTAATCATAATTTCTAGAAAAAATTTACAAGGCACAGTGAAATCTCTTTTGGCATGTCAAATTAATGGTTAAGCCTAGTGAGAGGTAGAGATAGGTATCTCTTTTACCATGTACTGGTAGGATGATGCCTAGTGGGTTTGATACGTTTTTCTCATTGTCTTCATAGTGAATTTAAAAGTTCTATGTTAGATATTCAATTTGATATGGCCCCTATATTGCAGACTCATTGGCAACTACTAAGTTACTATTAAACCTGATCCTGTACATGTTGAATATGAGAGGAACAGAAGGAATCCAAAAGGTTATGAATTATAAGAAAATATTTTTTTAATCAAAAGAAACAAAAGTAATTCTCAGATTTTTTTTAACGTGTACTGAAATGTTTCGCAGTTAATTGAGGATTATTTAGCATCATGTAATAATTTTGGGTAGTCCATTAATTTTATGAATGAAGATTAATAGCCTTTTTTGGGTTAAAATTATAATGTGTTATCCATGGATAATAAGGTCATCAATATTCTAAACAATTCGTAGGTTTTGTGTTCATTTACTACTTCCAAGCCCACTTCTATCATACCCACATAAAAATTGACAAACTGAAAACCAAACAATAGTCCACACATGTTAAAATTGTCAACTTGTTTTGCATACGTTGTTATGTGATTTGCATAAAAAAAAAATCTATTTTACTTCTCTTATTCAGCTGGTGCCTTGTGTAGCTAGTGCTATCTTGATTCAGCTAGGTGGTGCATTGCTGGAAAAGGCATCATGACGTGTGGTTTGTACAATAAATAATGAGACTGTCAAATTTAGTTGGGTAGTTCATTGCTGAGCAAGTGAATCACACTGCTACACTTGGAAGAGTGGATTTAATTGAGGTTTATTAGGTTGCACCTACTGCAAAGGCTGCACCAAATTTCAGTCGGTGATTCAATCTCAATGCATTCAGCAAGGAGTTAATTATGGTAATTATGGTGCGGTTACGGCAGATTGAGAAAGCCAATCTACATCGATTTTCTAAAGAACCGATGTAAATTTATACAAATCTACATTGGTTCTTCAGAAAATTGATATAGATTTCTACACAAATCTACATCGGTTATGAAATCGATGTAGAATTGTATACATTTTCTAAGTCATTCTATTTTACATTGGTTTTAGAATCGATGTAGATGATTTTGTAGAACCAATATAAATAATACAGTCTATAGTAGTGATTTAACATTTTAAATAGATACACAAATAATATACAGAATATAAAAAAAAATCTAAAATTATAAAGAGTTTTATTTAAATATTTTTTCAAAATATTTTGAATATTAATTATGGAAAGATATTTTCTTGATAACACTCGAATTTAGTTTTCAAACACTCAAGTGCATGAGCATGAACGTCAAACATTGAAGATGGCGCGAAAATTGACACCTATTCGGCTTTCCAATGAACGGTCAATGCTGATCCTTCCTCTCACAGTAACTAACGGCGTTTCAAATTTATCTGCAATTAACAAAATATTCACAAATATATATAGGCGAGGAGTATAATAATATCGGTGTAACTTTTACTAAGTATTATATTACTCAATAATTTTATATTAAATGTGAATTTTGTAAATATAACCGTTAGATGGAAAGTTCATATCACTTTATATGTGTATATCAAATTTCGTTAAAATTGGACTACAACTTGAAGGTAATCAAAGTATTCATATTTTAGTATATTTTGAAATGAATATAGGGGGTTATAATTACACCGGTGTAACTTTTACTAAGTATTACATCGCTCAATAACTTTATATTAAATGTGAATTTTTGTAAATTCAACCATTAGATTGAAAGTTCATATCTCTTAGATCATATTTACAAAATTTTATATTAATCCAAAATGATTTGATATTTCATTCTTATAAGACAAAATTGACGTAATATATTCTTTTCAAAATATACTAAAATATGAACACTTTGATTACTTTCAAGTTGTCTAATTTTAACAAAATTTGATATACACATATAAAATGATATAAACTTTCTATCTAACAATTAGATTTACAAAATTCACATTTAATATAAAATTATTGAGTGGTGTAATATTTAGTAAAAATTACACCAGTATAATTATAATCATCCTTATATATATATATATATATA